GCATAAAAAGGGGGGAGGGCACCTCCAAAACCCATAGTTCGATAGTGTAGAACTTTGTTAGCAACTATAGTTTGCTCTCATCATTTTAGCCTTTGGACATGGATAGTCAAGATACTACACTTGTTATGTCATCTCAAGCGACTAGCTCACGAAGACGACCGCGAGATGAAGAACCGCCTGCACCACGACGACGTCGGAGGATACCGAGCAACAGATCGCTAGTAATTGTATTTGAGGTCGAGCCTGCCTACGACGGTCAGCCAGAAGGTGTGTTTGGAGGACAGTTTCACAATGAAGATACAGAAGTCCACGCTTGGTCAGAGGTTGAAGGTGTTGGTCACTACCGTTGGCTCCAAGGGCCGATGAATCATTTGCCTCGCGAACAACAATTGGAATTCATAGCGGATGTGATGTGACAGATTTTCATTTTCTTGCGTTGGTATTGACTGATAACAACATTGCTTCTCGGAGACCTCGAAGTTAGAAGAGGAGGTGATGTCATGGACATACATTGGAAGATTCTTCGAATATTCTTCTAGAATATTCTCTAAAGATTCTCTAAAGATTCCTTTAGAAGGTTCTAGAATATTCTGATAGATTCTAGGAAGTTGCTCGAGAAGTTTCCTAATCAGTAGAAGTTGTTGGAGAAGCGTCCTAGTTAGCGGAAGTAGCTCGAGAAGCTTCCTATTCAATAGTATATATAGGAGTCGAGGCTGAAGGGTTTTTCAGTCTCGACAACACATCTCTTGGAGTTCTAGCTCACCTTTCTGGTGTTGTTCTTGTACTCATCTGTTTAACCTAGTTCTGCCACTTCTTCTTGAACTTCTTGTTAGATTTCAAGTCTGTATTTTGTGTCCGTGACATGGACACATCTTCAAGTTCAACAAAGAAAGAAGAAGAAGAAGAAGATGATGATGACAATGAGGATGGAAGAAATAGAAGTCAAGATCAAGTGCCAAAGAAGATAAATCATAGTGTGCCTTCAATTGCTAGAACCAACAATGAAGACAATGAAGATATTGAAGGTGATGATGATGATGATGAAGAATATCAACTTTTGAGTGAAAAAAGACAAGCATTGAAGAAGAAGAAGGATGGAATGCAAGAAAAAGGGTTTTCTTTAAATGAAAGGAGATATCCTTTGAGAGAAAGAAAACCATGTAGTGAATGGTAGAAAAACCACATCTTTCCTCAAGTAAGTGAAGAACATGCTAATGTTACACTTCTTGCTAATTCATTGAGTTTATGTGATGCAATGAAGTCCACGGATGTATTGAAGTAGGAGAATGCTATGGAAGAAGAGTACAAATCACTCATGAACAATGGAACATGGGAATTGACTCAACTTCCACCAAATCGATCTTCAATTAGTTGTAAGTGGGTGTTTAAAACCAAAAGGGATGCAATGGGTAATATTGTGAGATACAAGTCTAGATTGGTTGTTAAAGGCTATTCACAAGTTGTTGGTATAGATTTCAATGAAACATTTGCTCCTGTGGCCAAATTCACCACCATTAGAACCATTGTAGCAATTAGGGCAGCATTGGACTTGGAGATGCATCAAATGGATGTAAAGACGGCTTTCTTGAATGGAAGTTTAGAAGAAGACATCTACATAGAGCAACTTCAAGGATTTGTTGAAGAAGGCAAACAACACTTTATTTTTAAGTTGAAAAAATCCTTGTATGGGCTAAATCAATCACTAAGAGCATGGTACCAACGCATTGATACATTCTTTGTAAGTGAAGGATTTATAAGAAGTAAAGTTGATCATTTCTTATATGTGATGCAATCAAATAGGTTCATATTGATTGTCATCCTCTATGTTGATGATTTGATCAACTTAACCAATACATTGAAGATCATGGATTAGTTGAAAGCAAAGTTAGAAAAGGAGTATGAAATGAGTGATTTGGGAGAGCTTCATTATTATTTAGGAGTGGAGTTTGTAAGAGATCGTACTAAGAAGACCATTACAATGAGCCAAAGCAAGTACATTGAAGAAGTGTTAAAATGATTCAACATGGAGGAGTGTAAATCTATTAGAACATCATTGGAGGTAAACTTGAAGTTGATGAAGCTCACGGATGAAGAGTTTATTGAAGTTGAAGGTCAAATACAAGGTGTTCCATACAAGGCAACAATAGGCTCACTTATGTATGCAATGGTTGGCACAAGGATAGATCTTGCATATGTGATGAATGTTGTGAGCCAACACATGTCAAAGGTGGGACCAATCCATTGGGCAACCATCAAAAGGATCATGAGGTACTTAAAAGGTACTTTGAACTTCAAATTATGTTTTGGAGGTGATAACATTAGTTTGCATAGTTATTGTGATGCGGATTGGGCTGGAGATACAAATGATAGAAGGTCAACAATGCGCTATGTATTCTTTGTTGGAGTAGGAGCAATTTCATGGAATTGCAAGAAACAACCAACAATTGCAAGGTCAACAATGGAAGCGGAGTACATGATAGCAAGCCATGGTACAATGGAGGCAATATGGTTGAGACAACTTTTGGAGGACATTAGAGATGTGCAAATGGAAGCAACTCCAATGGAGTGTGACAATCAAGGATGTCTTGTATTTGTAAAGAATTCAAAGCATCATTCAAGGACTAAGCACATTGACATTCAACATCACTTTATAAGAAAGAAGATTGAAATGGGAGTGATTGATATGAAGTATTATGCAACGGAGGAAATACTTGCTAATTTGTTGACAAAGGCATTAGTAAAAGTTAAATACCACATGTTGACAAAGGCATTAGGATTAAAAGCCATTTGACCAATAGCAAAGTTTGAGTATTAAAATAAAAGTAGAATAAATTACCTTAAAGAGGATATTAACTTAGATAAGTTACTAGTAGTCAAAGATTTGACTCTTGGTATATGGTAAGGACATCCAATGGATATAAGATGAAGTCATAGATAAAGAGTCAAAGTCAAAAGGATAAAGTATTAACAAAGAAATATCCAAAAACTAAGTATGAGTCATTAGTATCTATCATAGGATACCCTCGAGGCTCGTGAAATGCCAAAAGGATTCTAGAGCCACGTGTGTAAAAGTCAAAGAGTGGAAGTTGTCTTTTAGGGCAGCAACTACCTATAAGTAATGGATATTAGAAGTGAGAGACATCTTATTCCATACTCTCTTTATGTGCAACCTTGCTGATGCTAAGTATTGTGTCTTCAAAGTGCTTGTTCTTCAATATTAACCTTCAACTTAGCTTAGTCATGATACTCAAAAGTAACCTCGCCTCAGATTCATTTGGGGTCCTCAAAATTCCAATCCTCATCTTTAGTGAAGATGAGAAATCTCCAAGCAGTAGCAGTCTCTTCAGTTTTCTTTTACCAAGCGGGTTCATCGATGTCATGAAAGTAGCAGTCTCTTCAGTTTTCTTTTACCAAGCGGGTTCATCGATGTCATGAAGCCCTGGGGATTCAGGGTGCACAGTTGCCCAACGGAGTCCATGAGATTTCATACTTTGCTATAAATCAGCACTGCTCTAGTAATTCAAGGCTTGGATCTGATTCTCCCAAGAGGTGACCGATGTCAGATGGGTCATACAACAGCCTCGGTAAACTTCTTCGAAAAGTGTCCTCGCTGCCATCAAGTCGATCTGCACTTATCTGTCAAATCCATCTTGCATCATACCATGTAGACTTAGATAACGTGTTCGTCTAGCATGCTCTCTGCCGTCTTTTGGCAGCGAGTATAGGTGTCCTCCTGTAAGTCATCCCTCTGTTGCCTTGACAGGACCTTTTAGCCTGTCAAAATATTCTCCCGAAGTCGGGTGGATATTGTCAGCAACTTAAAAGCCCATCAGCACTAGCTTTAGAATGTTCGTTTTATCAGTTGGAACATGTCACCTCGAAGTGCTATCGGGACTGTTTTCAAGCGAGATAGAAAGTTTAGATTTGCATGGTCAGGACATACATTTTCGACGAGTCGAATAAAAAGTCGATATATTCGCACTGCTGACTTCGTTTACAGATCTGCCAGGCAATTGTTTCACCTCAGAATTCACGACGTAGATTTGGCAAGCCTAACAAGTCCATGCACAACAAAGACCGTCCTCAGTAGGATAGTTATAATCAGGGACATGAGACGTGGTTTGATGGGTTTATGGCAGAGAAGATGTCGCTTCTCCAGTGGACATCATGTGAAGATGGAGAAACGGAGACGTTGATAATTTGAAGTTGCCAAGGATTTGAGAGAAGGAATTTTGTTACGTAGACTGTATTCGAAGACATATGTGCTGGATGACACCAGTTCATTAAGGTTGAGTGCGCTAATTAGTTATCAGTCTTAGCTCTGCACCTGAAGTCCAGGAATAAAAAAGTCCGTGTCCATATCAAGGACTGAATGCTTTTGTGGAAGCATGGTAATGTACGAATGGGCGAAACGTTAGATGTTCATAGTTAAGAGCGTCAAAGCTAATGGACAGTGATGATTACAGTATGTACTTGACGAAGAAGTGAAGCAGGAAATCACTAAGGATCAAGTCCACACAAAACAGAGGCAGGTGCACAATTCTCAGCAGTCGTGTGAGTGCCACTCGTTGAAAAATCGAAGTCAAACCCAGGGCTAGATTCCCGTAAAAACTCTATGCCAAACGAGGCAATAAGACATACCACCGATTCCGAATGGAAGTACAGGACCTCGCCTACAGACATCCCGCGACCATGATCCTCAAACGCTCCACCGTAATCATTGATTTAGGAAGCGCTGAAACTCATGAACTGTCCAGTTGGCGAAGAACCACTGTCTCGCATCCACATCCAGGAAGTTTACGGTTACCTCAAATTCTGGGTGAAGAGTTAGTGCGACGACTCCTAATCGATTCTCATTCGCCATTGTTGCCAAAGGCAGGAATAGCATAAACAATGTCCTTACCTTCAACCATCATGTGATATAAGATTATTCAGGTACAAAAGATTGATTTCAAACAACAGACAACGACAATTGGTGTACATGATGGAGACGCATGAAGAAAGAGGAACACTTAAAAGTCGAGAAAACCCTCCTCAGCTTTACTGATTTGAATTCCAGAAGGGGCTGAATGCAGATATATCCCCAAAAATTCAACAAATGTTCAGACAAAAGTGTTGGGCCTGGACGCCTTGTATGTGGTCTTCAGACTCCTGGTTGGTGGTCGGATCTTGCGGGTGGTCAAAGGAAACTTGATCTTCGAGTTGTGGAACTGCTTAGTGTTCACTCGCTTGCACAGCGAAACGGGAATGGTAGCAGTCTTGATGATCTGGATGCAAGGGAAGCGCACCCGATGACGTGAAGCCATCTCATCGTACATCTGCTCAACAGCTCCGTTGAGTGTGAGATCACGGTATTCCTTGTACATGTTGTGGTAGCCGGTTCGGCTCTGGTACCGCACCCATATACCGTAGTTCTTGATGGTAGTTGGATACTTCTCGAAGATCTGGCATGCGCAACAAGCATTGTCAACAATGAAATTGGATAAACCATCAAGTGAACCGACTCCAAAATCTCTGGATTCCCACATATCCTTAACGCCCACTCTTAGTTCCGCACACATGATACCAACTCTTATCAATCGTAAACTAGTCTGGGCTAGAGACGTCTGATCATGGAATAGCACTCATGACTGTGCACTGAAAACAACAAGCTAATCAACTACAAACCACAAATCCATCTCCAGTTGGATCTGAAAACTGTGAATAAGTCTGACGGAGAAATTCACAGATGTCCAGGAAAAGTGAGAATCGGTGGTCCAAACCTCATTGATTGCTAGAAGTTGCCCGTGAGCCTTCTTGACCTTTTGCAATTTCCTCAAGAAGTACCTTCAAAAGAAAATTCACAAATAGAGGGTACTAAAGTTAGAACTATGAAAACTCGTCGAAGTTAAAATCATGCCTGAAATAACAAGAAAAATCTTCTACACGACATAACTTGAATACAATTTATGAGTGAGGTAAGTCTCAACGAAAAGAAATAGCACCGATCATCTAATCACCTTCTGACTTTCTTATGAGACTTGTGAAAACGTACCAGAACTTCGACTTGGCGCGCACTTCATTCGTCGCCCACAACTTCATGCGGTATGCCTTGGGGGTCTCATTGGTAGCAGTTGGGAGGGCCCGACCCACCACCTGGTACTGGTGAAACTGTCACGACAAGCATAATCGTAGCCATCAAAACCACAATAACAGCCGTAGAGATAACACGCATCCCACTTCAAGTGCACGACATAATACCCCTACAACTAGAAGTATCCAACCCAGTCATTCACGCCAATGGTCCACCAAGAAGAATTTCGTAAACCCTAACAAGGATGCCAACTCCCAACTCTTAACACATGAAACACCACTACCGGACCCTAAAATCACAAATTCTGACCTGCTCCAATCGGACACACAAAATCACGAAACCCTAGAACTCAAAAAACTCTACCGCAAGATTTTCATTACAGCACAACATCCTTCAGCGAGATCCATTACAAGTTATGAAGCGAAGACTCAACCTCTATTGCAGGTTCAAAACATCAATCACAAACACGTGCATTCGCATCTGGGTACCTTACGCCCTAAAAATCTGCGACCCAACATAACCCACAAACCAAAACCATAACATTTATAAGAGCGAGACGAAAAAGGGAGGGAGAGAAGAGGAGAGGGGCCATGACGAACCCGGAAGCTCATGGTCGCGTGATCGGAGTAGCCGGGACTTGTACGGGGAGGGCCCAATTCCAGCACCGAAGGAAGTGAAAGAGGCAGATTTCGGGGAATGGCAGAGGTCTTTAGAGACCCCCTGAGAGGGTTTCGGAATTAGGGCATACGTGACATGCCACGAGTGCTGGATTTGTTTTTTACGTTTCTGTTTTCATCGCTTGTCTTTTCAACATCAGATTAGTGATGTCTGGACAATGTTTCAGTTGTGTGTGTGTGTGGATGTATGTATGTATGTATTTCAATCACTTGTGTCCAGCCAAGAAAAAAAAGCAGAAACAAATAAATAATTAAACGAGGTTCAAGAAACTTGATAAATTAATAATGGACCTACAGTGTGTTGAAGAATGATGGGGTCTTTTGAATGCTTGTTTGAATTGTTATGATAGTTTCGTAATTAATATTTGCTTACTCAATGCCTGGTTTGTGGTCAAATCTTCGGAATCTGAAACACTTGATAGATAACTTTGAAACCATGCTGTTCATTCTATTGTGACCCATGCAGAGCAGTTTTTTTTTTTTTTTTTTTTTTTTTTTTTAATTTTTAGTCAGGCAATGCAATTACATTTTCAAGCAGCAGTAGTAGAAAGGAGAAATAAAACCGTACTTCAGATTTGTAACACATTTTTATAACAAATGTATTCGCTTTTTTTTTTTCCTTTATTTTTCCCGTTTATTTTTGTTCTTTTTCTTTTCTTTTTGTGTATGTCTGTATGTATTTCTTTTTTTAATAATTTTCAATACATGACAGTAATTAAACTTGAGTAATCATAATAATAATAAAATATTAAGGCATTTGACCAAATATAAACGAAACGTATTTGAGTTTGCCCTGAATTTGTATGTTATAAAATATAAATTTTTAACGCAGAATCTCGTGTAAATTAAAAAGAAAAATTAACCATAAAAATAAAATGTAAGAAAAGGTGTAATAAAGTCAAATTTTTTTCACAAATCAGAACATAGGAATTTTTAATTTTGCAAATATACTTTTTTCTTCTAGAAAAATTTAAGAATATAAAAATATAAAGTAATTCGCACAATATAAATTATTTCTATCATCAAAGTTTTATATAATTTTTTAATTTTTTGATACCCACTTAAATGAATAAATTATGAATATAACATGTACAAATCATAGTAATTCACACGAGCAGGAAAGAAGACCAATATTATTTGAAATGCTTATGAAGAATAAAGTGTAAGCACTTAAAAACATGATGTGAAAAACATTGCTAATAATACATTTCAAGATCAAGATGACAGTTTTAACCAATACTCACAGTTGATACAAGTTACACTAAAAAGGGGATGAAATTTTAGATATATTTTCTATATACATGCTGTAAATACTACACCTTTGATGCTCCTAATACTCCAAATGTCCATAGAAGTCATAATGAAATTTACATACTAGAAAGTGATATGTGAAGAAATTTGTATGTAGTCAAACTGATGAAGTTGGTTTGGTTTTGAAGTAGTCAATGACATTTCAAAACATGTAATCATCCTGCAATAAATAAAGTGGGCTTCTTTCATTAATTTGCAGTTCCAAAAGTTCGTAGTTTTCAATATACACGAATCTTTTACAACCTTAAAAAAATCCTAATGTTGAAGATTTTGAATTTACTTCTACAGAATTTTGTTTTACATTTAAAAACCAAGATAATGGGAGAAACCATTCAAAAAAAATTATGAATCACACAACATAGTAATCATGATTTATTAGCATGTAAACTTGATCCCAAAGTGACTTGAAGATCTCAAAGAACTTGCTTGTAGTTGTCGATGCAATCCACAACCACATTGCAATAAGTGCTTGTTGTGAACTGATCTAAAAGGTGAACTATAAGTTAAAAAGCACGTTTCCAGAACATTCCCAACCAGCTGCTATTAGAAAAACTGAATTCAAGTCACGACATAAAATTTGCAACTAGAAGTGACGTTCTTCATAGTGTCAGCACCTGTTACCGCCATGTGTAAAACTGGATCTCCAGTGTAATACTAACTGTCGACTAAGTCTAGATGATCATGAGTGATTCTGCGCAGCCCATCAACCCAGTTGCACCACGTACAGTTTTCAAGCGTATGATCAAGGATTAAGACACCAAAACACACCCAATGTACAGTAATGTACCAAAAAAGTGGGAAAGAACCAACTGCAGAATGAGCAGCTCATACATGAGATATGTTTTCTGTACATTTTAGCTGGCGAGGGCTTCATTGCCCTGCAAAAAGCCAGCATCCCTTCCCAGTGATTTTGAAAAATATACACAACGAGTTTTCACTGGAATTAACTTAATCTTGTTGAAAACTTCTTAATCATGTGCAAAACTGGAGGCTTCAACTTCGTTTCGCCGACGGAGCATTGGCCAGTCGAATCAACTATCAGAATGTCTTCGTGACTTCCACTATCTGCAGACAGCAGGTGATAACAGCCATTTAAATCAATTGAATCCATTAGAATCACTATAAACCTGACCTGAGATTAAGGCAATTATCATGAGCACCCAATACACTACAGGAAAACCTGATGCTCACTGGTCTAAGGCAGGAAAACCCAATTCGAATCTAAGCAGTGTAATTTACCAACCTGGGAGATAATATTTCGTCCAATTTGGGTCCACACATGAATCCACAGTGCAGCAGGAGCTTAATATCTTTAGTATAGAGATTGCACAGAGAGATGTCTCCGAAATCACTCATCACCAAACAGTCAAATCCTTGTTCTACGACCAAACAAGTAGCATCCAACTCCTCGTTACTAATAAGGAAACGTATCCCACAGATAATCGTCGGGTGTCAGCGGCTCCAACATGTTGTTGAAGACATCCATGACCTGCTGGTTACGATCAGGACTTGTCACCGCGCCGATGCAAGCTTCGAAAGGATCGTACTGCGCAGTCGCGTCCGATGCCAAGCCTTCCGATGGTCCCGTCAAAATATCAGTGTTACTACCTCCATTGGATGGAAAATTATAACTAGAACTAGCATAATGACCACCTGGCTCTACTTGACTCCTATAGTCCTGCACCGAGTAATCAGCATAGAGCTGTACCGCACTACTTTGACCCTGATGAAGTGGAGCGCTGGCAGAGACGTACCTACTGTCAGGTATGTGAGGGACTGCAGGGACGTAGCCTGCAGTTGAATGATCTGCACCTGGAGGCCGCATCAAGTGATGACCGTATGCGCCTGGGGGTGGATAATCATTTACAATAGGAGGAGGGGGAGGGGGTGGGATATAAGGTGGTGGACTGTTCGGTAGAGGCGGAGCAATTGGAGTGTAATAAGCTACATTGGGGTGCAGTGTTGGTCGTGAGTACTGTACCACCGGCGGCGGGGGAGGAAGCGGAGGCGGCATGCCTGCTACAGGTGGTGGCGGTGGTGCTACACTTCCTGCTCTGTCGGGAAAATAGTTATGAGTTGGCACAGATTGCGAAGATGAGAGCACAGGTGCATACGTACCAGCTCGTGAAAGATCAGGGTAGGGCGTAAACTGTGGAGGTTGCGGAGGCATCGACGGAATGATCTCGTCTCTTATTCTAGCAGAAGTCGCTGGTGACCGTGGTCTAGGAGAAGGCAAGGGTCTGGTGCCTGAAAAAGAGGACAAAGGTGGCGGTCGATGGGTCCGAGACTGTGTTGAACTTGTGCGGACGCCAAGGTTGTGCCGAGGTGGAGAACATCTTCTTCGGCTTTTGCCCTTCAACTTGATGACTAGAGGATCTTTTTTAACTGCTGTGGAGTTTCCCTGCGTCTGGCGTGAAACCCTTGGACTAACAGGACTGTTTCCCACTAGTGATTGACGAATTGGCGATGTAATTAGAGTCTGTGATTGAGACAGGGTAGCTTGGGCATTTCTGTTCACTCCCGTTGGGCTTGTGATTGTGTGTAGATCTGCCAGGTTTAATGTTTCTTAGTACGTATAACTATGCAATAACAAAAAACTGTATTCATTTACCAAACTTGGTCTTCCTAAGAATGAAAATAAAGCCACTACAAACATAACAATCGAGACTTCCAATGTCTGGAAATAATGACAGCGAGTAGTAAATATGAAAAGTTATTTCACAAATACAGGCGTGATGCAAAGGCAGCCCCAACCATTACAAGTAAGGGCACAAAAATATTAGTCGAGCATGAAATATCTCACTTGAACTTGCAACGGTGGTGGGAGTCGCAGGAGCAGGAATGGAACCACATTTTGAGAACTGCCGAAGTGTTTTCCAGAGAGGCTCCTCTGTTGCATGGCAGTGATTATTTGGGTTATTTCCATCACCCCACAAAGAGCACGGGGCTAATGAATCGCAGACATAACAAAAACACTGAAACCAAACCCATTAATCAGTACCACATGATTTCGAGAAGGTAACATGCATAGCATGACTGTACAAGTTCGAGCATCATCATGAACAGCCTTGAGGCAATAGTTTTCACTAAAAATTAACCTGGTAAACTTTATCACCTCCAAGAAATTCAAAGATCCAATGGATTCAACTGTCACCTTTCGACTGAGTATCTGATTGGAGCCATTGAGATATAAACACAACATTCTACCATAAAACATGATTATTCCATTCTAAACTAAATATCACCATAAGGCTATTGGAAATATAACCCACCTGGGTACAGAAACTAGCGTGCGGAGTAGTCTTGAAAGGAAACTGAATACAAGAATGCCTAGCATGTGGATAATCCCTACAAGCAACCTGCACAAGAAACACGACATTTCAGACAGAGAGAAAAACCAAGTGATGTGAGAAAAGGAATATAAACATAGAATGCTCTCAGCACTGAGAAGGACAAACTCACAGCTCCTTTTTCTCCAGTAACTACCAACTCATCTGAATCGTAAGTTGGAGCTATTTCAGCCGCCTCAACAGCACCAGGGTCCGTATCCAATACGCAACACTCATCATCATCTATTGCACTCCTAATCAGCCTTTCCTTGTCCCTTCTTACTCTCCCAGCGTTTGTAGGTTTGTCGATAATCACCACATCATCATCCTCCACATCCATGTCAAATACCTGCACAAAACATGTATGTAAAATCAATATGGTTCTATAACAACCCCCAAATATGTGATGCTAACTCACAATATTTAAAGCTGAAAAGAAAAACGAACCGATGCATCAAAATGATTTCTCATCTACTTCCTGATTCCTCCTGACTGGTATTGAAAACGGATTAACACCTTCTATATGCCACACGAACAACTAATCTATTGTGTTACCTTTCTTAAATACAAGAGCCCTGTTGTTCCAATCGTGCCGCTTCGGTCCTGACTAAGGTCGTCTTCTTCATCATCAGAACTGCTAAGGTCGAGGTAAATCGGTTTGAGAACCATGATTCCAAAATGTTACTACGTGGTTTACAATTTACAAACGAGATTACATGGGATCGTCACGCACTAGACTCCCCTCGCTTTGACGCTGAACAACGATCCATGCGTCACATCAAGCCCATCATGCTTTCTCCACACAAAACTAGTTGCCTGTTGTGTAGCTTTTCACAAACTTGAATTCATTACGGCCTATTTTGTTGCTTAAGCTGCGCCATGTACTCGATCGCTGTTCAGTATCATGAACTCGATTCCACTCTTGCACCAGCTCCCGAAAGTATCTGCGATCAGAGTAATCCTATAAATTCTGTCCACCTTGCCAAGGGCAGGCAAAGGACACAAGCATCAGGAGACTTCATCACAACGTATTCTGGTACAAGTCCAACACACGAAAATAAGTTAGCTTCACTGCAGTGTACGGTACACCCGTAGAACATTTACACCTTTCTAAATGTCGAATTTTCATTTACAGAATTGACATACAAGCTTACAAACCCTATAAAATGTCTCTCCAACCCAACCAGAAATCCAGAACACAGATAGACTGTGCTCCTTAAAGATGAACCATAACCATGATGGTAAAACTTGGAAATATCAGCAACTACCAACTTACCAATCAAACTTAATTCCAAACCCACAGAGCCCTAGGTTACCGACTATACCCTTGAATTCACACTCCACAACTTCTCGCCTGTTCCAGCTCAAAATTTCCACTACGATCGAATTCATTAAAACGATAACAACAAAAGCACATCTGCTTCTGAAATAACCAAAATACTGACCTTATTGTAAAATCCGCTGATTCATAGACAATCCACTCAGATCTAACTCTACCCTCCACGCTGTAAAAGCAGGCATAACAGAGCATGCATGTGATACAAAACCCAAGCAATGCTACAATAAAGATTTGTGAAGAAATGATATAGCCAGTTGCGGTGCCAACTGAGGCGTGTATCACAAGGCGTACATTCGCAAACAAAGCGGATACCGCCGCCTTCGACATCGGTATCAGAGTGGTCCTGAAGCGCACAGGGATCAGCATCCCAGACCCCTTCTGTGCATCCCAACATCTTTATTCTCTGCTCTAAAAACTAAAACAAATTGCGAGACCACAAATCATGTGGGAATTATGAGAAAAGATCATGCTCTTCACGCGTACCAGGATAACTCAAACCTAAATTTGGTAAAACCAAATACAGAATCTCCGGTGCGATCGCGACGTCGACACCAGAGGCAATTCTTCCAAAACCTCCTCAATCACACCAATTCAAACCTCACCTCGGATACACGTATCCACCAAAGATACAAAGAATCCTGTCTCGAAAAGATGACTCCACCCACTTGACAGAACTACCATCAATACCAGCCGGCAGCCTCATACCAATACCAGCATTCGATGACTCCACATGCACACCCATTTCCTGAACGAAAACCAAAAAACCACGATCTACCACCGCCAGAACTAAGAATCCAACCAAATATACAGAAACCCACGTTATCTACAACCATGACCTACGTGAAAAAATACGGTCACTTACTCAACGGTGCAACAAAAGGGCCACAACTTTCCCCTAAGCACATCAACCGGCTCCATGCAACGTCTAAGACCACACAATTTGGTCACAAAACGGCGATGAGGTGATCAATTCTGACCATGAGAGGTGGGGAACATTGCAGAAACCGACTGCAACAAACATCTCGTGACCTCACAGAGACTATCGAGGAATACATCGAGGCGGCAGACGGTGGCGACGGCATCGAATTTGCTGTGAGAGCTTCTGCTTGTGGCTATGGCAGACCTGCCTGGGCTTGCCAACTCCAGAGTCTTCACCGAGCTCTCCTGGATGGATGATACTTATGTGATATGTCATCCGTGGATGAAGATTTCGGGACTTCGATTTTCCCGGGAAGAACTGAGCAGTCTTTGCTTTGCAGTGTGGAACTGGCCACGTATACGGCCACAGAGGATGACCTCGACGGATTGAATTTGCAACCGAGGGAGATCGACGGTGTAGATCTAGTTTCGAAATGATACCAGTTCTATTAGAAGACAAACATGGATGCCCCTATGTGTATCCTTTAATGTCGTCATAATATTATTATTCTTAGATTCTCTTAATTGGATAATGGTTTATAATGTCAAATTCAACATTAAAAAATGTAATGAAATAATCTCTAATTAATTTCATGATTTTTTTTAGACAATAACTTATATATATATATATATATATATATAATTAAACAGTTGTACATTGTGAATGTATATTAATGATTCTCAAGCTAGCTTTTTAAAAATCCTATGGATCCAAGTACTAAAGACAATTACACAACCATAGAATATGAATATTCAGTTATGGTCTTAAGTATTAAAAAATTCACATATTGTCTTTTAATGAACAAATTCATATTCTTTGTGGATTACATGTCTTTTAGATATATCATAAATAAACCGGATTTAAGTAGTAGATTACCAATATTGGTGTTTTTTTTATAGGAAAACTAGATTATACAATACAATACAAATCAAGAAACCAATACAAATAAGCTGATCACTTCTCATGATTATGTACAACTTCACATACCCAAAATATAAAAAATGAATTTTTTGATATTCCTTTGTTCCATATTATGGGTAGTATCTACATGGTATGGACATATTACAAAAAAATTGAATATTCCACAACTACCCAATGCCTTATCAAAAAATGAAGGACAAAAGATTAGAATGAATATAATAAAAAATATCATTGTAGCTACAAAATATTTTATCAAGTGGGCAAAAGAAAAAGTTGTTAAGAATAGATATGCTAAACAAACTAGCATATTTTTATATAAAAACATCATAACTTATTTTTGATGTTTAAAAATTCTTATAAGTAATAATAATATTCATTTTTTAAACGAGGATATTAAAAAATGACTACACTATTTATCATTAAGCTAAAAAAATACTACTCCCTATCATCTTTGTTAGAACATAATGTGACAAGATTTTCTTAAATATTGCACCAACAAGGCCAAAACACTTGAGAATAATATATATGTTTTTTTTTTTGATGATGAATTGTACAAAGTTTTTTTTGTCTGATTTGAGTGATGCTTAGTTGACTCTTGCATTAGAAATTGCTTCCTTTTGTCCAAAGCCTTTTGCTTCCTTGTAAAAATACTCTATAATATTTAGATATACAAATTTGAATCTCAAGTATCTATAATTAGGTTTATCACTTCATCCATACTACACCATTAAAGCCTAGATTTTATTATTATGTACCTATCTTATCGATTATTTTTTATTAGTGGATTTGATTTATCTTTTTTTATTAAAATAAATAAGTATGAATTATTTTTGATCTATCTTATTTAGGTCCTAAGTTGTGGTGGTAAACAAATTATACTCTAATTGGTTGGAAAAAGAATAAGTCAAATAAGGTTGAAAGAAGCATAGAAAAAGAAAAAAGAAAATTTTTATAGAAAATATTGAAAAAAATTAAAGAAAATTGAAGAAGGTGTCAAAGAAAAGAATTTGATAAAGACAAATAAACAAGTGACACTTTTCTCAAAGAAAGATGACAAAATAGAAATAACTCAATATGTATATTAAAAAAGAAACTAGAATGGCTATTGCCAAAAGACAAGAAAACCAAAGACCCTTGAAACTAGACTAGAAGCAAGAAAGGAGTTGACAAGAGTGAAGAAGGCTTCACTCTTGTTTCTATATATACTATCTTACTAGGGGCTACATGGCGATATTCTATAGGACCTCAAATATGTGTTGATTTTGTAGGACACATGCCTTGACTTACAAGGCAAGTTTTTCTACATGTCGGTCACATAGTTAGCTTGGTCTTCAAGTCAACAACATGTGTGGCACATGGCCAACTTATTGACCATGTTTCTAATCCCAAAAAGTCAATTAAAGACACCTATAAAGTCAAAGTAACATCTATAAAGCTTCTAAGAAGCTTCCATATCCAATACTATAGAATTAACTTACTTTTATTTACTTTTACTTAATTCTACCTATTTATACATATAATTACTGGCTTACATGCATATGTTCGTGACATTACCCCTCCTTCTAGGGACGAGTTCCATGAGGAGCGGTAATCATATGCTGAGAAAATCTATGATACGATGAATTGTATTCGCCACATACTCTGATCTTTGTTCTCTTTGAAGATGATTGATAGGGCCTTTCAACCATCAATAGTATCTCATACCAGGGCGGGAAGACCACCCAATTATTTGATCATTGTTGAGGCCTTCATAACTTCCTTCGAATAAAACATTTGGAACACCATCAAGAGTTGTTCCTACCTCTAGTAAAATCACCAAACATCGGGAGTCCATTCCAAGGTTGTGATACCAAACGCGTTGTATCTCACCATCTATTCGAGGGAAAACATGTTGTTCTTGAAGATCTTCATCTCGATTGCATCATCTTGAAGGTTGTGACAATCGTAATGTCTCGTTCGGGAGGTCAACAAACGAAGGCTCTTGAGTTGAATCTGGTGGATGTTGGTTCTCCATCCCGTGAGCATCACAACTATAAAGAAGCTACAAACAAGGATTGAAAGTAGAATGTTAACTTGCCTAGATCTTGTTTCTTTTATAAAAAAGATTTTTATCTTGATTTTGATGGATGTCGTCGATAAAAAGCCTCCACCGCCTTTGCTGCATTTGTAAGATTCTTTACTGGCTCCCATGTGCGTTCACTAATATCATATCTACGCCAATGGACAAGATATTCTAATTTATTTTGGCACCGCCTTAAATCTAAGACTTCTTCTATTTCAAACTCTTCATTATTGTCCATTTCTATAGGAGGAGGTGAAGCTTGTCTTCTTTTTAATATGTTCACTATCTTATATGATTCAAAAAAAGATATATGGAATACTGGATGGATTTTCATTGACTCTGGTAGGTGTAAACAATATGCAACTGGATTGATTTGTGAAGAAATAAAAAATGGTCCAAGCCTTCGATAGTCCAACTTATCACAAAGACGAGTGGTCTTGATATTGCGATGAAGTAATCATACATTGTCATCCATGTGGAATGGTGGTTGTTCCTTTCGATAGACATCTACATTGACCTTTTGTTGTTCTTGAGCTTCTTTTAATTGTGCCTTCAATGTTGCATGTAGCTCTGACAAATGAATTGCCAAATCTTTTGCAGTAAGATTATCAACTTTTTAAAAGTTAAAAATATCAAGTCATGGATGATAACCATAATTGACAAAGAAAAGTGTTTGTTTTATAGAAGAATGTACCATGTTATTATAAGCAAACTCTACCAATGGCAAAAGAGTTGTCCAATCAACTTATTCATAGTTCATGGTATATCTTAAATACTGCTCCAAAACTTGATTAACACACTCCATTTGTCCATCAATTTGAGGATAGAATGCTGAAGATAGTTTTATATCCACTTTCAGAATCTTGAAAAAAGCCCGCCAAAATCTTGATACAAACTGGGTTTCCCTATCTAATATAAAATCCTTGGATAATCCATGATAGCAATAGATATTGTCAAGAAAGAGCTTGGTTGTTTCTTTACATAAGATGGATTTTGTACATGGTACAAAATATGCCATCTTGGTAAAACGATCTACTATCATGAATATAGAGTCATAAGAACTTGAGATTAGAAATTCCGTGATGAAATCCATAGAAATAGAAGACCATGGTTGTTTTGGAATGAGTAATGGCTAAAGAAGTCTCTAAAGTCGATGATGAGGAGTTTTTGATCTTGAGCAAAAATCACAAGATTGTACAAAATCTTTGACTGCTTTCTACATTTGTGGCCACCAAAAGTCCCTGGATATTAGTTCCAAAGTTTTATTGTACCCAAAATGTCTTGCTGTTGGAAAGTAATGACAAGCTTGAAGAACACATAATTGAGCTTCACCTTTTGGAACATATAGGCATCCCTCAAAAAATAATAGATTGTTCTTGAATTCAAACTTGAAAGTATCATGAGATTTTGAAGGATTTCTCTTAATATCACGAATAAGAGGATCAGAAGACATATTTGACTGAACTTACTTAATGAAAATTGAATCAATAGTTAGTGTTGATTTCATTGCTTGAAGATGAAGATGCTCTAGCTGCAAAAGAATTGTCCATTGTTAATCAAAAGAAACATCTCCTTCCTTTGGTGCAAGGTAAGATCATCTAGAGAGTGCATCTGATAAACCTTCTTGTTTTTTTGGTCGATAAGTGATCTTGAATTCGAATCTTGACAAAGACATATTCCAATGGGCTTGGCGACGATTCAAAATACATGCTGACATAAAATATTTAAGGTTCTTGGGATCCGTATATATTGTGACTGGATTAGAAGCACCTTCTAGATAGTGGCGCCATTCTTGAAACGAATCCACGATTGCAAGAAGTTCTTTATCGTGGATCTCATAGTTGATCTCAGCTATTGAAAATTTTCTGGAATGAAAAGCTATTGGATGAAGTTATCATCTGTTCCCATTTGTGACAATATGGCACCCAAAGCAAAGTCTGATGTATTTGTTTCCATAAAAAATGGCTTAGAAAAATCGACGTGATACAAGATTGGTGTAGAGATAAAGGCTGTCTTCAAAGCTTCAAATGCTACTTTTGCTTCTTGATTTCATTGAAGTTTGTCTTTACAAGTCAAACGTGTAGGTAGAGCTATAACTTAAGAGAAGTCTTTGATGAAGATCCAGAAGTAGTTGGCAAATTCCAAAAAGCATTGGACATCTCTTACTATTTTTGAGATCTTCTAATCCATAATAGTTTGAACTTTCTTAGGATCCATCATAAGTCCATCAT